AACTAACTATATTACCTTAGAAAGAAAATTATCACATATTGTCTCATACATGAGATCTGTCTGTGTCTGTGTGAGTGAATGCCATTTGTACATGGGTATATGCAGAGACCAAAAGATTACATCAGCTCTTTGGTCCTGGACTTACATATGGTTGTGAGCCACTGGAAATGGGTGCTAACAACCAACCTCTGATACTCTGGAAGAACAGCAAGTGCTCTTACCCACTAAGCTATCTCATTAGCCCCAATTTAAAAATTTAAAGATCAAAATCAATGTTTGAAACACATATATGATTAGTTGAGGCTTTTAAAATGAATGTGACTAACAGTTTTGTTATATTAAAGATCCAATTTCAAATGTCTAAGCCTAAACGTAGAAAGAGTACTATTCACATTAATTTACCTGAGTAGTCAAATTATTTTCAACACTCCATAACTTTTTAATGCATTAATGGAAGTCATGTATTCCCATTATCTGTGTCTATAAAATAGACATTATCTGAATCTAGAAAACAGACTTGCTCTTATCATATCCATCCTTAAAAAAAAACTATACTAAGACTATACTTATTTCTTGGGAATTGTTCTGGTCACTAACTTTTAATGGTGCCGGCGTGATTCTTAGATATCTGTAAAGATCATGAAGATAATTAGAAACACTGCCATAGAGACTTCAAGGGAAGATTTTTTAAGAATTCATTTCTTTATATTTCCAATTTTTAAACTAATAATTTGGTGCCCATATCAACTTTATAAGATGTCTAATTCATTTTTTCTTTTTGAGATTATAATTTAATTATAACATTTTTTTCTTTCTAAAGGGAATATTCTTATTATTGAATGGTTATCTAGAACTTCTTTGCACTGAAGACTACCTTTAAAATATGAACAGCATATATTTGTTCAGTTTAGGGGTTAAAAGTAACATCTTCTCCTGTATTACAGGGGTCATGACTGGCACAGGTCACTGAGGAAAACAACAACAACAAAACTCATGCCTGATACAGAATCCTTCCAAACTCTAGACCCAAAGCTCATAGAACATTGTTTAGATCCCATAAAGAATATCCAGTCATGCAGAAGTGTGAGTAGACACAATTGAAGCATGACCTCATGGTAATGACCCAGGGGAAATCTGCAGTGCCTACCACTCAGATTCTTTCTAACCATTGTGTGTAGCATTCTATCCCCAGCTGAATCTAGGACAGGACGCTTCAGGAATGAGGCTACACTTTCAGGCAGGGTAGGTGAGTGAATTCTCTTATGACCATGAATCACACTTAAAGGCAGAGAAATTTGGAACATGAACTTTTTGACTTTTATAGACTGTGCTTTGGAAAGGAATTTCTGTTTTTATGATCCATTTTAGAGGAATGGACTTCTAGTTTCTATAGTCTGCTTGAGAGAGAACTGAAAGAGAGAAAACAAGGGTGAGAGAAGGCCAACTCTTAAAAGAGATCTGCCTTTTAAGACTCTCCTACCTTCTGCAAATCAGCATTCTCAATAAGAGAAGGGCCCATGCTTTTAGGTGTGGTATTCTGAGATATGAAACAGACATTGTGCAACATTCATTGTCCTGGTACACTCAAAGGACCCAATATATCTTCTCAGTAGATGCAATGAACTAGACATATGTTTACCATGGTTCTAATTTTGTCAACTTTAACATGGTGATATTTGATACCACCTTCTTTCTAGAATCCCCAATGTTCCAACACTCCATAAGTTATTCTGTATATTTTAAAATAAATATTTTATATAAACAGCTTAAAGTACCACTTAGTGAGTGGGGGGAAAACTATAAAAAGTATTTAAAATATTTCAGGGAATGCTTCAGGATCCCAAAGAAGAAATTCAACAGAGAACAGTCCCTTTCACTTTCACTAGTGAGCTGTTGTAAGTAAGAGTTCTGAAATATGAAGGAGCACAGGGAATCCTTTGGATGTGTTTGTTTTGCCAAAAGGCAAGCCACACAATATAAAAGATTTCTCCACAAATTTAAGACTCTTACAAAGGCAGTTTGTGGTATCACCACACAATTTCCTTTCATATTTATGCTGTTGATATTGATTTGCCCTTTGATCCTTTTCCTGGCAGACTTCACTCTACATGTTGGGGTTGCAATGACATATTAGACTTTAAAGGGTGCAAACATGATTTCCAAAGAATCACTCTCTGTAGTGTTCAGGATTTAGAATCAGACTGGTACCTGGGTAATCTAGTAGAGTATATGGCTTCTGTCTCACACAGAGGTCAGCAACTTGTGTGCTTATATTGCTGTGGAAAGATTATAGGAGGATGAAAAAAATCAGACCTTCACGGACTAATGTATGACCCACTGAGTAACAGGGTGGTCCTCTCTGTATTTACCTCTTTCCTCCTTCTTCCAAGTGAACATGACTTCTAATGCTTTGATTGAGATTAGATTGCCCCAGAAAATCTCCTTACATAAGTCCACAAAACCAAGCAGTCATTAGAATCTAGTCTAATGCAATTAATTATTTTCTTTTTAAAAGATTAATAATTAATAATTTGTATGAACATTGCTGTGGGATGGTCTGTATGTCAAATTGCTCTGATTGGTCAATAAATAAAACACTGATTGGCCAGTGGCTAGGCAAGAAGTATAGGCGGGACTAACAGAGAGGAGAAAAGAGAGAACAGGAAGGTGGAAGGAGTCACTGCCAGCCACTGCCATGACAAGCAGCATGTGAAGATGCTGGTAAGCTACGAGCCACGTGGCAAGGTATAGATTTATAGAAATGGATTAATTTAAGCTATAAGAACAGTTAGCAAGAAGCCTGCCACGGCCATACAGTTTGTATGCAATATAAGTATCTGTATTTACTTGGTTGGGTTTAAGCGGCTGTGGGACTGGCGGGTGACAGAGATTTGTCCTGACTGTGGGCAAAGCAGGAAAACTCTAGCTACAGAACATTGTATCTTTATGCCCTGAGAGTTAAGGAAATTTTGTTGGCTAGTCTATGAATCCAGTCTCTTCTTCAGCTACTGTTTCTTTGGGAAGCAACATTTAGCTTCCAAAAGAATTGACTAACACACAGAAGATAATACAGATTGTTAAAGGCATATATAACTTGAATCAGAATAATATGAATAATAGGGTAAAGTGTAAATAGTTTAAGTATTTAGTCAATATTTCCAACCATTCTTCAAGTGCTTGTGAATGTTCTCAACACTGCATAGTCAAAAAAGCAAGTGAAGCAAGAATCCAAACACCCGGATTCCTACTCTAGTTTTTCCAGATATTAAACTACACAATGTTGATATAAGACATTTAATCTAAGCCAAGCACTCCCTGGCTGGAAATGAGCATAATCTCTGCTTTGTCACACCTAGCAGTTGTGAGGCTTACAGAGCAGTTAAAGGACTTGAACTTCAAAATCAAACAAGCACAGTCTTGGATTTTACCTTCTCCATTCAGCATATTATTGAATCTCTGTGTCTCAGTTTCTAACTTTTCACAGATTGAAGGAATATATGAGTAATATATACTTAATAATTGCTTGACTTATAAAAAGCTTCAGCTATTATAAAAAATAATGATGAAATAACTCCTAATGACATTCTGCTATATTCATTAAATCAGTGCTTTGTTCAACCATCATCAGAGAAGCCTCCTCCAGCAGCAGATGAACAAATACAGAGACCCACAGACAGACTTTACACAAAGAGTGAGAGACCATGGAATACTCAGTCCTAAATTTGATGTCAGAAGGAATGAATGATGCTAAGAAAACAAGACTCTCTAAATCAACATGATCAAGGCTCATATGAACTCATAGAGACTGAAGCAGCATGCATAGGGCATGCATAGATCTGCAAAGTTCTTGGTATATATATTATGGCTTCCAGTTTAGTGTTTTTATGGGATTCCTGAGTGTGTGAATGAGTAGATCTCTGTTTATTATGCCACCTCTTGGGCTTTTTCCCTTCGTTTGTTTTCTCCAACTTCAATATGATAGTTTTGGTTTTATCTTATGTTTTAATTTGTTATATTTCATTATTATTTCTTAGAAGCCCATTCTATTCCAATGAGAGACAATGAGGGAGTAGATCCATATGGGAGGGGAGGTACAGAGGAACTGGAATGAATAGAGTGATGGGAAACTATAATCAGGATATATTCTGTGAGATAATATTCTATTTTCAATAAAAGGAAAAAAGAAAAAGAAAAAAATATATATGGATGGTATGGCCAGTGAGATGGCTTAACATGCAATGGCTTCTGCTATCAAGCATGTATATGGGAGGGGACATATGAACTGGGTCCAGGCTACTTTCTCTTTGTACTCTACTCCATTTCAGGGTTAATATTTAATAAAGGCTTACTCTACATTGATTATAACAGTCAATATATTAACCATTATCAAATGTGACTCCTGGCAAAGCCCTGGATTCCTCATATTTTTATAGGCAGTGCAACCTCAGGGGCACAACTTGTACTCAGTACTACCAAATGCACTCAGACACTGGAGAAATTCCTTTATCCATTTGACATGAATATTTTCATTTAATCCTCATAATATCCTACAAAATAGTACTGCTCACACCTTCCACTTATATGTAAACAAGGTAAGTTTGTCCAAGGTTGCACATCTAGCCAAGGAGTCAAGATTCTACTCCTGGTATCTTATTTTCCAGAACTTCCCAAAGTATCCATAAATAGTCATGTATAACTCTTTTTAAGAAGAAAGTCAGATCCAAAGTTGACAATGAGCATAGCTTGCATCTTTATTTGGTAAAGCAAATCGAACTAGCAGCTTCCTTTACAATACATATGTCCACACAGACCTGCAAAGACACCCAAAAATCTGTTATTGTGAAGACACACCCTGACATTTCCAGTCATAAGTCACTACAGAATTCAGTTACTTTTTCTTTCACAGATTAGAAGGAAACAAGTGATCAAAACTCTCCAGAGGTCAGAGCCTTTGGAGTGTCTATGGAATGACTTATCTTTGAAGTCACAGTTGCCTTTACCTTTTTCCGAGTGTGGCTTATGCTCAATTCGTGGGTTTCTCTTCTGTAAGAATTACCATGATGAAGTAATCTGTTTCCTCTTTCTCTTCATAAGGCTGCTGAGGAGCCCAATATAGGCCTCTGTCCTGCCAGGAATCACACAACAAAATTTTAATCTATGCCACTAGCTGGGTTGTCTTCTTGCTTTTTATACTTATAAAATGCTTTGGTGTACCCGAGACAAACAAAAGTATTATTGCAGCAAAGTTTTACTATGAGTGACAGCTTACTGAAGAGACAATGAAAGATCCTAGAAGGCCCCAGTTACTGAATGCACACAAATGAAGGTAAGGCCTTTTTCAGTCCCCACTTTATTTGAAGGAAATTGAAAGAAAAACTGGGGAAGTAGTTTTCAAAAAATGCTTATTGTTAAAGCCAAACACTATGCATCCTTCTAGTATACTCACATTGATAGAAATGGGTATGTGATAGAATTCTGGTTCTGGTTCTCTCTCTCTCTCTCTCTCTCTCTCTCTCTCTCTCTCTCTCTCTCTCTCTCTCTCTCAGCCTCATGAGACTCTTTTGTAAAGTGGAAATAATCTACCTACCTTGAAAGACTCTTGCTAAGAGTAAATGACTAACATTATTAAAGCGCTTAGCATGTATGACTCACAGCTATTTGAAAATTACCCTATAATTAAATACCAGGGTTTACTTGAAAATGTACACAGACTTTGATTCTCTTTTCTTCCTCTCTCAATATTGTGTAAGGTTCTCACAAAGCTAATAGACAAGGAACCTACAACAACTAACTAAACATTAGTGAACCCTTCCAAGAAAAGCACTAAGTTATTCCTAAAGACAAATATTCTTGAAATCATTAATGAAAAAATGGCCAAAGTTCTAGAAGCTCAAGTGATCTCTGAAATAGGAAGATAAAAATCTTATGCTATAGCAAATATAAAAAAAATTGTATGAGAAAAAGAAAGAGAAAACAGCTTATTCAGAGGGAGAGAAAAATAAAGAGTTTTAGAAAACAAAAATAACAAAATATCATGAAGGAGATTAAAAGGAGACAGCTTTTCAAAAGCTTTTCCTTCATCTATGTATTAAATATTTATCAATAGAGAGATAGCCTTACTTGTCCATGGTTTCCTCAGTTGTGGATTCAACTAGGCAAAGATAGGATACATTTATATTGCATCACAACTGAACATGTGCAGATTTTTATTTCTTAACTATCATTCTCTAAATAATGTAACTACTATCTATACATCATTGACTTTGTCCAAGGTATTATAAATAACTATAAAATGGTTTAAAGCATACAGGAGAATATCTTCAAGTTATCTACAAATATTCTGAAATGTTATACAAGAGATGAGAGCACATTCAGACTTTGGTATCTATAGGAATCATGGAATCAATCCTCTGCAGACTCATGGGATTAATGAGTGGATAATGAGGATGGAGCTCTTTACAAATAAAGTGATAAACATGTTCTTAAAAAAATCACAATACCATAATGGTTAAGTATTAACAAAAATTTGTGGAAAGAAAAGGAAGCACAAAAAAAGGAAACAACTCAGTCTGCGTGGGTAGGGCATGGCTAACAGGCAACTTTTAACTGACTTAGGGGCTACATTTCATGAGCTATGAATAATAAATGAAAAATGGTGGATGAGGCTTCTCTCTCATTCAAGTTATATTCTGATAATGAGGGGGTCTTACATAGTCTACAGGTCTGAGCTTAGAGCACAACAGTCATAAAAAGCTTCCCTTGCTCAGTACAGAAGCCTAAAAGTGCATATTCTCCCCTGTTCCCATGACCATGGAGGTTCTTCAGAATGAAAAGCAGAATGGTAATGGAAATTACTGAACATCAGTTCACTTCTGCCTGGGTCTAAAGGTAGAAATGAGCACAAGAGGAACTCCAGAACCCAACAACCTATCATCTTGAAACCCCCTCAAAAGTAAGACGTCTTCCTCCCCTGAAAACCCAGACCAATCTGGTTGTTTTCTCATTCTGTCAAAGTGATCACATGCTCATCCCTTTGTGGTCACCAGTCACTATAACCAGAAGTAATGTGATGGACCATTTGGTTTACCCTAGTCAAGAGCTCTTGCCTAGAAAAGTGTTAATGCCCTGGGCTGAGAAGGGCAAAGTGGCAGGCTGTCAGGTAAGGTAGAAATGAAAGTGTGCTGAGAGGCAATGGCTCCTTCCTACATGTGCATTCTAGATGGAAAAGAAACCAGAATTCTGGGTATATTTCAGGGTAATATAAAAATGAATTGAAATATACTAATTATATGAAAGCCTGTCCTTGAGAGATAAGGAAAACATAACTATATCAAAGAACTAAAGATGCTATGTGGTGACAAGTTTGACAGAGAAAGGATATCAGAGCATGTGTGGATGTGAAAGATTCCAATACAAGCTGAGCTTCTGGTTAAAAACACATATTATGATTCACCTAGAAATAGGAGTTTACAACTGCATTTCTAACAAGTTACTGCTGATTTAGGATCTCATCTTAATAATGAAGACCATAGTTATTCATAGGGTATCAAATAAAAGAACGAGATGGACAATGTGGCATAGAGAACTAAGGTGCAAATAAACAAGACCTGGATGGCTCTCCACTTTGGCTTCCTGGAACTAGTGATTTCTCTAGCACAGATATGCGAGGAAACTCCAGAAAGTAATGGAGCATGCTCTTTGAAGACCATGAGAAGAATGTTCTGGCCTAGGTTTCCTTTGTTATAATTATGATCCAGGGATGCTAAGCCTGTCATCCTCTCTTTCTCCCCTGCCAGAGTGTTCATGTACAAAAGCTGTGCCCGTGCTCAGGATAAGTGACACAAAATGTGGCTGAATAGCTAGAGAATGCTCTGACATTGTGATCTTAATAAGAACATGATTTGGAGAGGCAGAGAGGTGTGGGAAAAGATACTTGATTCATGTCTGACAAACTAGCTGTCAACCACAGAATTTCAGTCACATTGAAGTGGTTCTCTCACAACTTAACTTTTAAGCAGCCTTGGAAATAATTATACTGAATGAATTAGAGATCAGAAAACCATACAAATTTTGCCAAGTAAGAAAGTGTCAGCACCCTAGAGTGACAGTAGTTTTTTAAAAAGTACCTTGTTAAAATGAGGAAGTAAATTTTCATTAGTGAAAAGTATATTTCCGCATTTCTTGACCTGACATAAAATCATATCATTTTTTTTGTTGCTGTTGACCTCAGCAATGACTTTTATGAAGCAATAATGAGAGGACTGTCATGCCAAACACTTTCAATAGAGTCTTTTAATTGAGGATTCAGAATAAATCAGATAAAAATGTTCCCAGTGTGTCAATTTACTGGTGAAAACTGCTCTTTTCAATTGTGTTTTGAGGCCTAAGATGTTTATCTTGTTACACTGTTCTATGGAGAGTTACCAATTCTCTAGAACTAAAATCTATCCTCTGAAATCTTAAAAACTGCTCAATTTGAGTGGATTTCCCCCACTTACTCCCTTATAGCTCTTCAGTCCCTTTACTGTTCATCTGAACAAATATTAGATAATAAATTCTTCCTTTTTCCTCCCATTCTCTTTTTTCCCAGGTCAGATTTTCATCTTTTTTCCCTGACTTTTTCCCATAATGTCTATACCTCACCTTTTCAACTCAACATATGTCACAGGAGTTTTCTCTCTCTCTCTCTCTGTCTCTCTCTCTCTCTCTCTCTCTCTCTCTCTCTCTCTCTCTCTGCCTTAGAATGGCTAGTATATAAGCTCTAGTGGGTATTTATCCTTGTTTTGGGTTATAAACCAACAGTCTATAACATTACATAGTGTTTTCTGTCATAATATGTACTTACTGAGGCAAGAATACAGCTCAGTGGTAGAACATTTGCCTGGCAAGTGTAAGGCCTTAGGTTCCATTCTTAGTATCACAAACTAACAATATGCATTAACTATAGCAAGGAAGAAGGGATATTCTGCAAGCACCTTTAAAACACAAATTAACTCTTTAATTTTTATACATACCAATTTGAATGTATTTTGTTCCCTTCAAAATGAATATTGAAGTTTAATACCTATTGTGAGGTATCAAGAAGGTATGGATGCTTAATCCAAGTATGGTGTTCAGAACTGGAGCGTTTGGGGGTGCTCATAACTGAATAAGACCATCAGGCTGTAGCCTCCATAATTGAACACTGACAGCTTCGTAAAAAGGGGAGGAGAGACTGACTGCAGGACATGTGTGTATACACACATGTACACATACAAGCTTCCATTCCTTGCCATGCTGTTTCCCATGCCACTTCAGAGCTTGTCAATGACAAGGTGCAGCACCTCATCCTGAAATGTCTAGAGCTAAGAACTAAACAAATTTCTTCACAAATTTACTCAATCTTTGATTATATTAACTGTAGTAAAGCATACAATAGTACAGCACATTATAGTAAGGTAAATAGACCAATATTCCAACCCTCTAACCAGTGCTTGACAAAATGGGCATTCTCAATCAATGCTGGTTGTATTAACAAACAGGTGATCAAAGAGGTAACTGCAAACATTAATAATTTTACTTTTAACATACACAGGAAACAGAAAGTCAGATAAGACAGGTAAGCATCAAGGACTAGAAAGTCTTAAGTATGAAAGCCCAAGTATCCACCAACTACAAATACCTTTTTGAGTTCATGAAAAGGCTTTCCTCCTGTTCTTCCCAGGAACACCCTACAGATACTTCACTAAGAGTCCTGTCTAAATATTCTGGCAGAGAAAAGTTATCTTATTTTCCTCATAGTTTCTGTTTGTATCAGCCTGCACTGCTGTGTTCAATAACTTCTTTGTTGTGGACTTTGGCAACAACCCCAGGTAAAGCAGAAAGACTCAAGAACTGTGGTTTTTAGCAATTGGACTTCTCTCTAACTGATTAAGACCACTGGTTATACTCAGACAGTCCATGACTTGTATCCTGAAATTCACTACTTTCCACTTAAAATCTGATGTAAACTCTATTCACTTCACGTAGATGGATGTGTTTAAGAGATGAGACCTTAGCTCATTCCTGATCCCTTGATACATTTGTAAACATGAGTAAGATATTTAACATCTTTAGGGCTTCTGCCCACAATACAAACA